GCGACCAGCTGCTGTGCAACGACGTGAACTGCACGGACGTGTTCACGACGGGCGTGGACGCCTCGGGCGCAGTCTCCTGCGCAGCGCTCACAGCCACAGGCACCGTCGCCGGAGCCACGCTGTCGTCCACAGGGGCCGTGTCAGGCAGCTCGCTGAGCATCACGGGGGCGGCCAGCGTGGGCCTGCTGAGCTCAGCCACCGGAATCACGGGCAGCACACTCACCATCAACAACACGGCCAACGCCGGGAACTTCACCACGGTGGGCGACGTGTCCACGGGCACGCTGACGGCCTCAGGCGCAGCGACCGCGGCGAGCTTCGCAGCGGCCGGGGCTGTCACGGGCGCAACGCTGACGGTCAGCGGGGCGGCCTCCACGGGCCCGCTGGACTGCGAGAGCCTGGACTGCACCTTCACGGCCACGAGCGGCGGAGTGTCGACGGGCAGCGTGGTCTGCGGCGACGTGACGAGCTCGGGCACGGTCTCCGCGCCGCAGCTCTTCGCGTCCAACACGCTCACCGTGACCAACACCTCAGACTTCTCGGACGATCTCTTCCTGACGAAGAACTGGGCGGGCTGGAGCAAGCTGCAAGTGTCCAACAACAGCGCGGCCCCCGACAGCGGCCCGGAGCTGCGGCTGCTGGGCAACCAGAGCGCGCGGGTCTTCCTGGAGCGGGACGGCGGGGCGCACCAGTGCGAGCTCATCATGATCAACGACGAGGCGCTGGTGCAGACGAAGAGCCTCTCCACGCAGCTGTCCCTGACCACGAACCAGAGGAACCCCGGCTGCCTCGTGATCGCGGGCAACACGGGCAACGTGGTCTGCAACACGAGCTTCACGAATTTGTCGGACAGCCGGGTGAAGACGGAGATGGCGGAGGCCGACGTGGCGGAGCTCCAGCAGCTCTTTGACTCCGTGGAGGCCAAGCAGTACAAGCGCCCGGACATGAACGAGGACCTGAGGCTGGGCTTCGCCTCGGACGACTTCGCAGGAACGAAGTGGAAGAACCTGACGGGCGCCGCCAGGTGGAGCGACGGGACGGAGATGGTGACCCTCGACTACTCTCACCTGACCAGCGTGCTCTGGGGGGTGTGCAAGGGCTTCCAGGCCCGGCTGGACGCACTTGAAGCCTGGCAGGCCAAGCGGGGGCCGAAGAACAAGTGAGGGACCTGGCTGACGACTTCAACGTGCGGGACCCACGGAAGCTGTACCGACTCGCGAGGCAGCGTGACCTCGACGTGACGCAGGCAATGGCCTTCAAGGCGCTGAAGGCGGACGTGGGCCGACAGGTGCAGGCGCCCCGGCCGCGTGCGCTGGGCAAGTCGGCCGCCGAGGGGCCGAACGACCGGCTGCAGGCCGACCCATCGACTTCAGCCAGAACACTCGGGGGAAGACCAGGTACGGCCTGGTGGTCATGGACGTCTTCACCCGGGAGGCTGCCGTGGAACCTCTGCAGAACAAGAACGCAGAGACGGTCGGCCGGGCCACCAAGCGTGCCACGCAGGAGCTGAAGAACTTCGTGGTCACGACCGACCTGGGCAACGAGTTCGCCACGCTGGACCGGGAGCTGCCCGCGGAAGCCGTGCACCGCGCGAAGCGCCCCGAGGACCGCAACGCCACGGCCGTGGTGGACCGGGGCATCCAGACGCTGAAGAAGGACCTGGCCACGCGCGTGGCCCGCAAGGGCGGCCAGTGGAGCGACCACTTTGAGCAGACCGCTTCGGCCTACAACGCGCGGCCCCACGAAGCTGCGGGCCGTGGACTCCATGACCGTCCACAGCACGGAGGGCCGGGAGACCCTGCTGAAGCTGGCGCTGCCAGCGCCCCAGGGCAGCGGCAACGCGGTGGGCCGACTGACGAGGCGGGGCAGGCCGGTTGCTGTGAGGCAGCTGGACGACTTCCTGGGGGCTCCGGGGCCCAGGACCCTTGACTGACAGCTGGAACCGATTGAGCCAAAAAAGCCGTCACATCTTGCCAGTACCGCAAAGCACGCGTTAACTGAATTCGTGGCGCAAAAACGGCCTACACGTTTAGAACAAGAAGTGCGTGGGGGAAGGGGTTGGCGGAAAACTCGCACCTGCCCATTGGTGGAAAGTTTCACATCTCTCTCTTCGGCCGGCGGCCCGGACACCCTCGGGTGGCTCTCGTACGGCTGCCTTTACGGCCGATAATCCTTTCCAGCTGGCAACTTTGCAGTACTTTTGAGCCAAACCGCGCTTTAGGTGAGCACCCCAAAAAAAAGAACAGCCGCAGTGCGGTTGGGGGGAAAGAATCGCGTCCCGTAACTTATTGGGGGGGTGTCGTGGAGAGGTCAGAAGGCTTCTCAAACATCACTGCATGAGCGCAAAACACCTCAAAAACTCATCCCGGCTCAACAATGCGGGCACCTTTGTCGCTGCGCGGCGGTGCCTGTACTGTGAACGCCACCCGCGTCAGGCTTCAACTGAAGAAACGGCCTGCCGCAGATCATGCAAACACACTGCCAGGACATGGAATCGACGCGCCTTCTGCTCAGTTTTCTGCGGGATCCCGATCACCTTCCATGCCTGGTAAGACGCCTTCAGCCCATTCACATGAATGGAGATTCCGCATCTCCAGCAAGCGATGCACCTACCGACCTTTGCCAAAGCATTCAAGCATACCGAGTATGTCGCCGAGCTGTGGGTAAGGGCACTCCGGCTGCCCCGGTTTCTTCGTGGCTCTAGCGCTGAATCGGTCTCAGCGATACTGTTCAGCCAAGCAGGTCCTAGACCACTCCAGTGCTTCGAAAAATGATCGAGGCGCCTGGTCTGTACCGGGTCATTGGATGCCAAGTAAAAGTTTCAATTCGGCTCACACTGCGGGAGGACGGCACCTACCAGCTGACGAACCTAGGGAAGCGGTTCTTCAAGAACAAGTACTCGCAGCACGTAGCACACATCCCAGTGCTCATCAGGGGGATGCGGCGGGCCGGCAAAAACGCGGGCCGGGCTTACGAGCGCAGGGACTGGCTCCCCGCAAATGTCCTGGGTGGGGAGGCCAGCCGGCAGCCCGACAGGCTGTCGGAGCAGCAAATACTGCAAAACGTCAAGCAGGAGACGCTGCGGCTGGTGGCCGCGGGGGACGAGGACCGCGCCGCCGGCAGGGCGCCCATCATGGAACTCAGCGACGAGACGTACTTCTACGACCCGGAAGGGGAGTGGGTGGTGTCCTCGGAGACGACGCAATACCGGAACAGCCGCGTACACGTAGAAACCATCCTGCGGCAGAGGCTGCGAGGCCTGCGCCGCGTGTCGTACCAGCTGCCGTGCTTCAACAATATCCTGGAATGCGCATTCGAGGACTCCGGGGACAACGCCTGCGTGCCGCGGCAGCGGCCCGGAGCTGCGGCTGCTGGGCAACCAGAGCGCGCGTGTCTTCCTGGAGCGGGACGGCGGGGCGCACCAGTGCGAGCTCATCATGATCAACGACGAGGCGCTGGTGCAGACGAAGAGCCTCTCGACGCAGCTGTCCCTGACCACGAACCAGAGGAACCCCGGCTGCCTCGTGATCGCCGGCAACACGGGCAACGTGGTCTGCAACACGAGCTTCACCAACTTGTCGGACAGCCGGGTGAAGACGGAGATGGCCGAGGCCGACCTGGGGGAGCTCCTGCAGCTCTTCGACTCCGTGGAGGCCAAAGCAGCACAAGCGCCCCGACATGAACGGGGACCTGAGGCTGGGCTTCGCCTCGGACGACTTCGCAGGAACGAAGTGGAAGAACCTGACAGGGACCGCCCGGTGGAGTGATGGCACAGAGATGGTGACCCTCAACTACTCGCACCTCACCAGCGCGCTCTGGGGGGTGTGCAAGACGACTTCAATGTGCGGGACCCCCGCAAGCTGTACCGCCTTGCGCGGCAGCGGAACATGGACGTCACGCAGCCTGAAGACCGACGTGGGCCGGCAGGTGCAGGCCCCGCGGCCCAGGGCCCTCGGCAAGTCCGCCGCGGCGGAGGGGCCCGATCGACTTCAGCCAGAACACCAAGGGGAAGACCAAGTACGGCCTCGTGGTCATGGACGTCTTCACCAGGGAGGCGGCCGTGGAGTCGCTGCAGAGAAGAGCGCCGCAAGCGGGCCACCCGGGAGCTGGTGGGCGAGGAGCGCAACTTCGTGGTCACCACGGACCTGGGCAACGAGCTCGCCTCCCTGGACCGGGAGCTGCCCGAGGAGGCCGTGCGGCCCGAGGACCGCAACGCCACGGCCGTGATCGACCGGGGCATCCAGACCCTGAAGAAGGACCTGGCCACGCGAGTGGCCCGCAAGACTTCGAGCAGGCCGCCGGGGCCTACAACGCCTGGCCGCGCGAGACGGTCTACGGGGCCCCAGCGGACGTGGAGCGGCAGCCGGCCACCGAGTTCCGGCTGCTGCAAGACAACGCGGACAAGTTCCAGCACAACAAGGATCTGACCGACCGCCGCATCAAGGCCATAGAGGACGCGGGGGCCTTCAGGGCTCCCACCAACGCCGCCCGGAGCTTCAACCCCCAGTACGGGGACGTGCAGCGGCTGCAGGCCGTGGACTCCATGACGGTCCACAGCACCGAGAGGCGGGAGACCCTGCTGAAGCTGGCCCTGCCGGCGCCCCAGGGCAGCGGCAACGCCGCGGGCAGGCTGACGAGGCGCGGCCGGCCCGCTGCGGCAAGGCAGCTGGAAGACTTCTTGGGGCAGCCCAGGAGGCCGGGCCAGCACAAGGCAAAAAAACATGTCTTAGCATATTGATGGGCTTTGGGGCCAAATCGCATGTAGCCAATTCCACATTTTCATGCGTTTGATTCGTCACTCACCGGCTGCCCTCAAAATGCAAGCATTGAGAAAAGGAAACAAAAGGTCTCAACAGCCCCCTAAATCGTTCCATGGCCTTCCTCGGTTCCCCAATCTGCTCGTTCTGCACCCAGAAACTTTTTTCCTCATGCTCCGCAATTCTTTGAGCCCCGAGATCCAATTCTAGGCCAGGAAATGGCACAGCAGCAACAATTCAGCCTTAAGGTTTGGCCGCCCTGGTTTGATAGAAGGCTCTACCAGCGTAGAAGCCAAAGTACTCCTGGTACTGCGCTTCAGATACGAAGATCAAGCGCTGTCCGCCGGTTTGTGGCACAGTCTCTGTCCTTGTCAGCAAAAGCACCAGGATGTCAGCTGTGTCGCATGCTTTGTCACGCTCGTTCTCCACTATGAATGGAGAATTGCCCTTCTTGCATTGCAAACATTCAGAGATCGTGTGATTGTTGCCCTTTGCCCTCACCTCTTCCAACATGAGAAAGGCATCAGCAGCTGGAGCTCCGGCAGCATTCACGACCAAAACACGTTTGCCAGTCAACGTCACTGTAAGGTTTTGGTTTGTCATTTCAACTACGCACTGGTGCATTCCCAGTCCCTTAAGTAAATTTGTCCGAGCTTTGGGATTGCCGCAGCATGAGGACCTCGACAACAATTGCTTCCTGGATTTGGCAAATTGCAGATGCCGGTTGATGACCTTGGTGCTTTTCAAGCTGTCAGGCTGGATCACTGCACCCCTGTGTAGATCGGCAATGTCAACTAGTTGTCCATCCTCAAACGCAGAAGCTCGCAACACTCGAAACCTGGCATTGAATTCTTCCCACTGTTGCCAGGTTGGTTCTGACTCAAACAAGCGGTAGTCCATCAAGTTCCACGGTTGCAAATCGTCAGAGAACTTAGACAAACTCAGCATCAAGTACAACCAAATGTAGGGCAAGTCGATGCGGTACTGCGAGGAGTCGCCGTCCTTGAACTTGACGCGGATAAGCTCCACCTTCTCAGGATCTAGATTGCCGACCATTTCGCCAGACAAAATCCATCTGCCTGACAGAGCTGCGCGAAGCAGTTCCTTGAGGTCTGCACCCGGCTCAATCTGAGTGGCGTCAGGATACTTCTGCCTCAATTGTCTCATAACTGCACCCACCAAGGCAGTTGCTGCAGCGTTGGGCATCTCCATCAAGGCCTCTAGAAGGCACTCCAAAGCTCTGCCATGCCCGCCATGTCTTCGACCAGAAGGTCTTTTAGGCGGTGGCCGGGCAGCACCGGCTGTTTGTTGCGGGTTACGGCGGTCACGCGTGGCAGCTCCAGAAAAACTCGGGCCTGGGGACTGCCAGCAAGTCCACTCTTCACATTTTGCAAAGCGGCCACACAGGCTACGACAAAGGGGCCTTCCTTTTGGTTGACGAGGCGGCAGACCTCCTGCATCACCTGATAGAATGGCAGGTCCTTGCCCACAGCATCACTGCGGTCAGTAAATCCAGGCAGACCGTGCATCCCGTCGACTCCGATCACCACCGTGCTATTGAGCTCATCACGCAGCACAGACTTAAGCACAGGCGAGGGTGTGAGGTCGGCAGGGCATTGGATGCGGAATTCGGCGAAGTCTGCTGGAGCGCCGACCTCCCGAAAAGCCTCCTTGTTTGCATTCCTCAGCTGCCACAGCATGCGGCATGCCACAAAGCGTTGGGCATTGAGCTCCTCCGTGGCCCAGTCCCCGGGAGAGAGGGCGTTCTCGCAGCTGATCATGAAGCTCGTCGTTTGCTTGCTGAATTTCAGTTTCTGCCTTTCAGACACATTCTGCAAGCACTGCTCGACCAGGCCCGGGAACTCTGTCAGCAACCGGGACTTGCCTTGCCCTGGGCCTGCAAATGCAATGAACAAAGGATGAAGCTGTTTGTCACTGTTCTTCCCCTTTTGCTCGTGCAGCTTCTGGATGGGGATCTGCATGCGCTCACGGAGCTCCTCCTTCCCACAATAGTCCCATGTGGCCCCAACTGTTGCAAGCAGTTGGTCGGCTGCTCCAAACTTCAACTTCTTCGCGAGCAACTTCTCGCACCAACTGCTCCGTGCCTGTCTCCAAAATCGGGCGCGGAGGAGTGTAAGGACATCAGCAATTGTTGGATTTATCGAGTCGGGTGGCTCCGCCTCAGCAAAAGAATTTCAAATCAGGCAGATATGAGCAGGTACATCTAAAATTGAACAATAGAAGGGGATGGAATGGCAGCACAACGGGCCAAACCATCGAACAGGAACTCTGCCCGTGGATGCAAAGCCGGGAATGTATGGTTGAACTCACTGCATCAAAGAGAACATTCACAGAATGCACTTGGGCCTTCAGCAGCCAGGACCCCAATGGGTGCAGAGACATAAAGACATCAGAGTTTGCCCTCCCTCTCCCCGACGGCAGAAGGGCAGGTCTTGCTCTTTGAAAAGCAAGCTGAAGGCAATGACAAAATCACTCACAAGGATCAACGGCACGTCTCAATCAATGTTGACCGGCAGGAATGACCGACCTCCAACAAGGAATGGCAACCATCCGTTCATGGGGGGCTCCATACCGAGCCTACCAAGGACACGAACCGCCGCAATCTGCAAAAATGCTATCTTGGGATTTCCTGGTTCTCTGGATGCGATCAGGGCTGCCCCACCAAAACCATGTGCGGGCCGCGCGGGGAATTTCAGAACCGCACGCAACGATCAGAGTCCCACAACGCAGCCGGCCGGCGGAAGCGACCGACTCCGCCCGCCTCGGACTCCTTCGTCCGGCCGCTTGCCTTCGCCTCCTTGACCTCCGCCTCCTGCACCTCCTTCTTCGCTTCCTGGACCTCCTTCTTCGCCCTCTCCACCTTCCTTTCCGCCTTCTCCACCTTCCTTTCCGCCTTCTCCACCTTCCTTTCCGCCTTCTCCACCTTCCTTTCCGCCTTCTCCACCTTCCTTTCCGCCTTCTCCACCTCCTTCTTCGCCTCCTGGACCTCCTCCTTGGCCTCCTGGACCTCCTCCTTGGCCTCCTGCACCTTTGTCGCATTGCCCGAGTCCTCCGCCGTCTCCAAGACGGTGGCAGCTCGAGCGAGACGCCTCACCGCCATCGCTTCCTGCTCCTGGGCGCTCTCAACCTGCCGCTGGGCGCTCTCAACCTGCCGCTGAGCGCTTTCAACCTCCCGCTGGGCAGTCTCAACCTGCCGCTGGGCGCTCGCTTGCTCCTGGCGCGACGAGCAGGTCCTGCCCAGCAAGACTCACACGCCGAGCAGCAGTGCGCTCGGACGGACGGCCTCTTCCAAGGCCTTTAGGGCTGCCTCGACAAACATGCAGCACACAGAATGTCACGAAAGCGCTTGTGAATCTGACCTGTTGGTAAAACAAGCAAACACTCCTGCCTCTGCCACAAACTTCTTTAGCTGCTGCTTTAACTCAGGCTTAGTCGCCAAATCATTCCACTTCCCTGGATCTGTCAGCTGCACTTTTCCTGAGCTCAAAATTTCACCACGCCTGCTGCAACCAATGTGCTGCTAAAGCGGCGCATGACCACTTGCATGTCTTTCAGCGTGCCGTTGTCCACAACCCGTTTGGCTTCTGCGACCACCTGAGCGAGACAAGGCTGGGACGTCGCTTTCTCTGAAGGCCCGCCGCCTCCTCGAGATCGAGCCGGTCCTGACAACCAACAAGCCCAACGTTCAAGCCCGATGCACGTGTCCCCCAGGCCTGGCCACTGTTGTCCTGGCGGCAACCGGCAAAAGATGCGAACAGGCTTCGGGTCGGAGGAGTCCTCTTGCGCAGCCCCGGCGCGCCGAGCGACTCCGGCATGCAACGGGTGCCGTTTTGCCTGAAAGAGCCAAAGTGCAATCTGCTTGCGCCTGCGGGCAACTCTGAGAACTGGGCCAACATGCTGTCCTGGCACTCAGCACGAAACAAGAACATCCAAAGGAGGGACTTCATGCTCCTTCAGCCCAGGAACTCCTCGAGCAAAGTCCTGGGCGGCGGCGACAAGGGACTCCTGAAACCCGAAAACCTTCGAAAAACATGTGTCCCAAGACCCAGGCCGTGCTCGGCTGCACGAGCAGCGCCAATGCAATCCCGAGAAGGCAGAGGCACATACCTGGCCGCTGCCTACCGCGGGCACGGTAGCGTCACAAGCTTGCCAGCCTCGGCTTTTGGTCCTGGTCCGCATCATCGCCATGGCTATTCGAAAAGCGCTTGAGCGGCCTGCGATTCCTCAAGCACTGGCACTAGACCCATCGGGCAACCACTGCGAGCTGTTGTTGTGTCAGTGTTGATGAGTACCCTCGAGCCAAGTTTCCAGAGCAAACACAAGATTGACTGGCTTCTTTGGCAACACCAACGCACGGGTTTGGATGCTCCTCCTCCTTTTCACTCGCGGCCTGAAGGTCGGTCGGGCCAAGCCTTGCAAGGCTTCGCAGCGTCCATCCGTCAGACTGGCTGACCCACATCCTGCCGCTGCATCAAAGTCCAAGCGAGATACCAAACTGGCCTGCCTGCAAAACAAGCAGCCGAAATCGGCACCGGGCCGCCAGGGGCTGAAGGGCGGGGGTTTCTGGGGTCCTGGGATCACTGGGGCCTCTGGGGTCCCTGATTCCCTAGGGTCCCTACATTCCCTAGGGTCCCTCCTAAGGTCCCTAGGGTCCCTAGAGTCCCTGGGGTCCCTGCACACGTGTGCATCAGACGTCTCGCCAAGGCCCCAGAGTGCGCTCATCCCTGTCAACGCACGGCGGGTTCAGGGACCTTGGGGACCTTAGGGACCTTAGGGACCTTAGGGACCTTAGGGACCCCAGCAACCCTGCAAACCCTACCCTAGGGACCCTAGGGACTCCGAGGACTTCAGGGACCCAGCGACCCAGGGACTTCAAGAGATCCTTGGTGGCCCCAAGGATTTTGGGGCTTGAAGGGATCTTGGCAAGAACTTCACGCCGGGTACCACTCAGCCTGGGCATTCTCCAGCATCATAGGGTCATGCAAAAACACAAAATGCCGAAGCCAAGACACACACACACACACACACATTGCAAATGGGCCACAACACCACAACATCATCTCCCAACTACAAACACGGATGTAGAAAACACCATGTAGAGACATACCAACATAAAGGCACAAAGACATAAAGATATAAAGATATAAAGAGAAAGGTATAAAGATACAAAGATATAAAGATATGAATTTGTAGAAATACAAAGATATAAATATATGAAAATTCATAAAGAGATACAAATACGTAGAGATATGAAGATAAAAATGTATGAAAATAAATAGATATGAGTACACGAAGATAAATAGATGTATGGCAAGTTGCTCGAATGGAAAAACAACAGAAGCTTTGCCCTTCCGCGCGTCTTTGTGGCAAGCTGCAACCAACCGAAGCTTGAGAGATGACTTCACACTTCACGGGATCTCTTGCCCCCAAGACCCAGGGTTGCTGGGGTCCCTAAGGTCCCTGGGGTCCCTAAGGTCCCTTAGGGTCCCTGAGGTCCCTAGGGTCCGTAAGGTTTCTGGGGTCCCTAAAATCCCTGAAAACGCCGTGTGTTGACAAGGATGGATGCACTTTGGGACCCTGGCGAGACGTCTTGATGGAAGGACGTTGTTTCATGGCACCCGCGTGCCCAGGGACCCAGGGACCCCAGGGACCCTAGGGACCCCAGGGACCCTCACTGGGTCAAAGATCAAGGGGGCTGACAGATTGGTGACAAAGATCAAATGACAATAACCTGCACTGGACCTCTTGGCCATGACAATGGAACGCGGCGAGGGCCCGGGCGGAACGTGGAGCTCGAGGCGCAAGCTCAAAAGTTCGGAGTGCCTGAGCGCCAGGGAAAAAAAGGCGATTTTGAGGAAACCACACTGCCTGACTTACAAAAAACCTGACAGTACGACTTGACGGGGTTGGGGCAATCGCTCTCAAGGTCAAGGGTTCACCAGGTTGGAGAGACAATACAAAATGCGGGCCTGGCTCAACGAGGTCACGATTTCCAAAGATACACGGGCCTGACGGCGCGGCTTGACGGGGTTGGGAAAAGCACACAAAAAAGCAACGCAAACCACTTGGGCCTCACCGGGTCAAAGAGATCAAGGTTGGGCCCAACCCTGAAAGCTCAGTTGAAATCCGCGCATCAACACTGACGGCGCAATCAGCAAAAAGGCCCAGGCAGAACGTCTTCGAAGTCGCGCAAATCCTGGCACGGGACGGGGGGGGGTGTCGGCCTCGCTAGGCCAAAGATCAGGGGGCCTGACAGATTGGCGAGTTGGGACCCAAACCTCAAAGATCAGTTGGCATTGATGGCCATGACAACGGAAGCAGCGAAGGCCCGGGCAGTATGCCCCGATGTCAAAACAAAGCCTGGCACGCGAAAACACGACCTTCAAAATCCAGGACCAAACCTGAAACACTTCTCAAAGGCCGAGTTGACACCAATCCGCACAGGTGCCCAGCCAAAGAGTCCCCAGTAGCACGAATTGGATCCACCTGCAAGCGGCCAACAAAAAGTGACAAAAAGGCAACTCGCGGCGCTGCGAGAAGATCTGCACGTCGAAGTCTGGGCACAGGGCACGTGAGGTCAAGAAAAACTGTGAGTCTGAAACCACGCCTTTGCACCCGCGAGCGGTTCCCGCCCCGTACCCCAGAGTGTCCCCGAATCTCGCCTTCACAAGGCTCACGTGCTTGGGGAAGCTCTTTCCAAACACGACCGAAAACGTGAAAATCGTGAGAAAAACGCAACACCGGCAACCTGTCATGCAAAATCACGCCCAAAAACCATGCAAAACTGAACTTACGGAAAAACAAACAAAAACGTGTTTTTTCCGGAAATGGCGGCCCTCGAGCCGCTTGAGCCAGGGCCGTCCCTTTGGTCGGACCATTTTGTTGTCCGCCCTATAGGAAAAGGACCGGCAAGCAAAAGTCCCGAACCATCGCCACTAGCTTCGCCCTGGGCGAGGTGCAGACGAGCCCCAAGGGCGCCATCGTCTGGCAGTCCGCGTGGACTCACGTCCTCTGGAGCCCAGCAGCTTCGGCGAGGACCAAGGACCCAGGCAGAACGCCTGCCTTGCGATGGAAACGGATTCCGAGGTCTGGGCGGCCTGGGAGGAATTCGAGAAGCTGTCTTCGCGGTCGAGCCGCATTTGGGACTACGGCGATGTGAAGGACGGTGGCAGAGCTGCCTCAAGGAGTCCCGACAGGGAGCGACCTTCCTGAAGTGCAAACTGGACGCGCGGAACGAGGCTGGCGGGCTGCGTGCGCGTCGAGGCCTGGCGGGTCTGGATTATGGGCAAGCAATGCGGCCTGGTGGAGGTCCGCGACCTGCAGGTGAACCCCGGCACGGGCGGGGACTTTTGCCCCTTCTAAAACTGCGTTCTGTTTATCGTGGATGTCAGACGTAAGCGAACGCGCCCGTAACTGACCCCGGCGGCCTCGAGAGAACAGCGAGGCCCCGGGGCACCCAGGGTTACCTCAGCTCGTGCTGGTTGAGCCTCCAGCAGCAGAGCAATTGCATGTTCACACGGCAGCGCTGATGGCCTCAGCTTCTGGAGCTCACCCAGGTGCTAATCTGCATCTGACGGCCTCGGATGAAGAGCGTGTCAAGGGCGCCGTGCGGCTTGTGGAGCTGCGGCGTGTCAGCAAAGTCGTCGATGACTGGTACAGTTTCTTCGTTTCCAACATCTTGGACGCTTCCGTGATCTTGCGCTGCTGCTGGATGATGCGCCGCAAGGCGGACTCATCCCACTCGTCCCAGTAAGCCTGCTCACGCTCCGTGTTCACCCCAGGTCCTTCTTGACGGGGATCCAGCCATCATCGATGTTGACGCTTGGGCTGAAAACGTAGACAAACACGCCCTTGTACTGCTCCAGGATGAGGCTGATGAGCGCCACGGTCTTGCCCGATTTGCTGGGCGAGGAAGATGCCCGTGCATGGCACCAGGGGCACCACGGGGTCCGAGGCTTGCTTGCTGGTGTACTCAGGCGTGGGGAAAAGCTTGATCTTCCCCATTCCTTTTGCGTTACGCAAGTTCCGGAAGCCGGCAGCTGAAGTATACGCGCTGGCCTATCTGCGGCTGCCCTAACCCAGCACAGCAATCCTGTTGCCGGCGCAGGATTGACGGAGACGCAACCCAAGGCTCACATGCAGCAAATGAGGCCAAGAGAATTCCACCCTTCTGCTCTGAGTTACCGTTGCGCTTAGAAAGCACTTATCAGGCTTTTCGAGCCACAAAGCTCCGCAACAGAAACGCACTTACAAGGCCAGAACATTGTTGGGGAGCAGATGCGGCACTTACGAGACGTCCGGTCCGCCAACAACATGAATGACGCCACTCAGCCTCAGCACTTCACGCTGCGCTCAGGCAGCAGCACTTCGGGCAGCCCCGCAAGCAGCCGCGCCTCCTCGCAGTCCGGCTTCCGCGTTCAGGCGCAGTCCAACAACACGCCGCGCCCCTTCTCCTGGGGCCTGAACCCCGTGGCCCTGCCCCAGTCCCAGAGCTCGCGGGCAAGCTCCAGTTCCGGGCAGTCACGCCGGAGCCTGCCTCCGCCCAGCTTTGACCAGCTGGCGCGAGACATTGAGGCTGCTTAAAAAAAAATAAAAACCCTCCTGGGGGAGAGTTTATTTTGCACGGTTTTTGCGCTGCAAAATGCTATTAGTGTCGTCCGTACATAGATGTACGGACTGGATTAATAGCTTTTGCACGGTTTTGCGCTGAGAAAAGCTATTACTCCAGTGCCTACATCAATGTAGGCACTGGAGTAATAGAGTTTTACACGGTTTTGGGCTACAAAAATGCTATTAGCCCAGTGCCTACGTAAATGTAGGGAGCGGGCTAATAGCTTTTGCCCGGTTTTGCGCTACAAAATGCTATTACTCCAGGGCCTACGCAAATGTAGGCCCTGGAGTAATAGCATTTTTGCCCGGTTTTGCGCCACAAAACGCTATTCTTCTCGTCCGTACATCTATGTACGCACTGGAAGAATAGTTTTTCCTTCGCCGTACGAGTCAAAATGCGTGTATATAAACAAGCATGGAGGTAGTCACCGCCGGAGCCCAGGATGAGCTGATGCAGAGCCTGGACTACAAGCTGAAAACAAGCAACACCAGCTACGTGACGGCGCGGCATGACGTGCAGTACTTCCCCAGCTCGCTGAGCTCCTTCTCCCCCACAACCTCGCGGGTCTGCCGCATCC